GAGAGGAAGGGTAGAAATAAATACTAGTAAGCAATATTCCAGCAAGAGTCCTAGCTCAGTGTTCCAGTGAGCTTGCAGAACCAGTTAGGCCTTGACGGATTATGCTAGCATAATTTTTCGCATAATTCCTACCAAAATCGAATAATCGCATAATTCGAGGCAAATTGCATACGAATCGCATAAATTGGAATAATCCGCCTGTTCGCATCAAATTCCATACAGTTGTACATGTTTTACAAGTACAAGTACAATTAGATGCACCAGGAAGTCGTAGGTTTACGACTCCCTTGATAACATGTCCAGTCCACTACAATCAGTGACGGTCGTAGCTTGGTCGGACGGTGCGTTGACCCCGTTGAACTTTTGCTACTACAGTACAACGCCCTCTACAAAAAATTCCCCTGTTATTTTGCACAGAACGATCATAATATACATGTACATTAGCAGCATATGTGAGCATAATGCGGCATAATATGATAACTTTTAGCATAAAAATAGCATAATTCTGCCATTTTTTCAGCAATGCGAAAAGCATAATTTCACGAAAATATTAGCATAATCCGTCAAGGCCTAGAACCAGTCACCAAACTGTTCTCACTCTGCTTTCGCCACGGTGTTCAACCTACCAAATGGAAGCTGGCCCATGTGGTTCCAGTCTTCAAGAAAAGCCCCCGCTCGGATCCCAAGAATTACCGGCCAGTCTCACTACTATCCATCCTGTCAAAAGTAATGGAGAGCATAGTAAACAAGCAGCTCGTGAATTATCTGGAGCGTTTCAATATTCTGCCCGACAGTCAATATGGCTTTCGGCAAGGAAGAGGCACGTGCGACATCCTCACTGCTTTGCACACTGAGTGGGTCAAGACTGTCAGCGATGGAGGGTACGCTCACATGGTGGCGGTGGATATAGCAGGAGCATTTGATCGGGTATCACACTCTGGACTGATTTTCAAAGCCAAGAACGTTGGCATTGGTGGCTGCCTGCTGCACTGGCTGCAGGATTACCTCCTGAACCGCAAACTATCAGTCCTGGTCCACGGCGACTCATCCTCTCCGGCGCCCATAACAGCAGGTGTGCCCCAAGGCAGTATCCTTGGCCCGACACTTTTCCTCTTGTATGTGTCTGACCTGGATCAGTGCCTGTCTCCCGAGACGCGACTAAGTTCCTTTGCAGACGACACAACCCTCTACAGCCTCATCCGCACGCAGGACAATATGCATGACATGACTGCCGCCTTGCAATCCAGCCTCAAGCGTCTTGAAGAGTGGGGAGAACGCTGGCGCATCAGATTCGAGCCCTCTAAATCGCAACAGCTGCTGATGACTACGAAAGCCACACACCCTGCTGTCCCTGACATCAAGTTTGGAGGTATCGCGGTTCCGGAAGCCAACACCATCAAGCTTCTTGGAGTGACATTTGACGCCAAGCTGTCATTCCGGGATCACTTGCACTCAATTGCGACACGTGGCTGCCAGAGACTGGGTGTTCTCCGTCGGGCTTGCCGGGTGTTAGATTACCATGGCCGGCTTTGTGCATACAAGGGATTTGTGCGACCCATCCTCGAGTATGCTCCCCTTGTGTGGATGGGAGCTGCATCCAGCCACCTCGCCCGACTCGACCGTGTACAGAAACGTGCAATGGCCATTATTGGCCCTGGTGCCCTTCTCCAAAGCCTGTGCCACCGCCGGATTGTATCTGGGCTTGTATACCTGTACAAGCTCCAGTGCATCCCAGGACCACCCCAGCTCATCGCCATGATCCCCCCTCCAGCCAACCATGTAGAAGCTCGGCGCACCCGGAGTCAACCTCCTCCTGGCCAGCAGCACCATGTGCAGCTGCAGCAAGTCCTGGACAGGAGAGCACCTGCCTATGCTTCTCTCTCCTTCCCGTTTTCTGTAGTCTCAGTATGGAACAGCTTGCCAAGCGAAATTGTAAGGGCTCCACTCAGCTTGAAGCGGCTCCACACGTTCAAAGAAGATGTCCATAAGTACCTCACGCACCAACACTGGCTGATGGCTACCGACTTCTACGGATGAACTCCTGACTGTGGCACGGGTCATGTTCCTTGGTTCGGCTCTGCTGATGATATTGGGCTTCATTTACCTTTTATTATTTAATTTATTATTATTAATTTTTTATTTAGTTTGTTTTGTTTGTTATGATTTCTTGGTTTTCCACCCGGTTTAGTTATAATTTAAATTATTATTTGGTGCAGCTTTAGCGCTATGTGGTTTATTATTTTTCTTTTTCTTAATTTCGTATTTAGCGCTTTTGGGCGTCATTATTTCGCACCAAGTTATTATTTGTGGTATTCTCTAGCTTCTGTTTGTTTTGCAGTTGTTCTTGTGCAACCCCCCCCCCCACACACACACACATTTTTCGATGCCTAGTTGCAACGCTGACGCCGAGACCTCTGGTCGGTTGAGTTGCTCCCAGCACATCAGCACGTCGTCCCTACATCCCCTATGTTTTGTCCTTTTCCTCGTTTCTTTTTGTTCTCCACCTGTTTTCCAGTAGGGCTGTGTCAATAGTAAAAAAAAAAAAAAAAAAAATCAACCTCAGGGCTACACCGAAGCAAAAACGGAATGGGAACATACTATATACAAAATAGCTTCATACATATAGTGCAAAACACGTTTACTATTCTTCAGTCCGCTATACCACAGAAACACACTAGCCGAAAAGCATTTAAACGGAGCCATGATGCGCTTTTAGCAGGGCACAGAACTGAAAGTGGCTGGGCTCGGAACGGAGCGTTCTATCCGAGGCAAGCTTATCCGCTTCCAAAAGAGACATGTTCACCAATTAATCCTAATGACTGTTGTCTACCCGTTTGGTCAATGGGCGACCTCTGGGTTTCTTTAAAATGTTTGTTGTTTTAATCGCTATCTGAAGGTCGGAAAAAAAGAAAAAAGGGTTTTGTAGGACTCAGAGTCCTTCCCTTCGCAGATGACATTTCTAAACCATACAAAGCCCGGGCGTCTACAGCGTCTTTCATGCTATATTGACAATAGACACTGTTCTACCATTTTGTAAGTTAACTATGTCTATTTGCACGTTTGAAATCTCTAGCATCCTCCTTGACCTCGGTTCATTTTTCATTTCTTTCCCTGGCATGTTAGTGGGCACATCGCCCGTTTGGAATTGCAAAATAAAATAAAATCAGGACAATCACCTAAATTTACTTACCTGTGTGATAACATTCCCTCATGCTGAGACTTCTGTTCCCTGTGTTCCCCTTCCTATTCCATGTCGTACAGTCAACAACGAACAGACACGAACCTCCTCCATAGTACACAGCATTTGGCCACAATATGGCTAGTGCAGTGACGTCAGAACCTTCTCCTGATCCACCATCCGTCACGAGGTTCCTAATGCCAGTAATGGCCATTGGGGAAAGACAGGAGTGGTCATGACCGCTGGAGAAGAGTAGCTAATAACATGCATCATCATCAGTAGCACTAGAGATTTATCAACTCCCTGAACCACAGTCACCTACGTTCACCTCTAGACCACCACCATTCGTCTTGGAGAGGTCAGGACAGTCTTTGACTCTCCACTGTAAGGCTAAAGGACATCCAACACCGCGTATCACTTGGTTACGAGGCTATCGTGTCATCATGAGCAGCAGCCGAGTAGCCACGGGTCCTGATGGCTCTCTGCATTTCCAGCACTTAGAAAAGATGGGTCTTTACGTATAGATGCGCTGCGGAGAATACTCATGGACATGAAAGAGCCACGAGAAGTTTTGAAGCTTTTAAAAGTTGCAGTTTCGTCGAAGTAGAAGACGGTGCATGTGGACAGATCAATTCCAAAAGACACTGCATTGTTCAAATCCAAACCAACTTCATTATTATTACAACGTTTCAGCACTTAACCACCATCAGATACAAATAATCATCCCATCAAGCTAGCAAGAAGTAGATTATGTACGGGCTAAGCCGCTTTGGTCCGCCGAAAATCTGTTAATTTTCACGCCAAACGTTCCGTCGCCAACCAGAGTGCAACACACAGGGCGACATCTGTACATGCATGGCACACAACGTGCCAACAAACAGCACGGCCACTACATACAGTCTACATAGTGAACTGAAATCAAAGGTGTGAGTACTAATTATGCAAGTGAAAGAGAGAAAGGGGTGTCGCCCGTAGTCTCAGGCTCAGGCTCAGGTGAGTGGCAGCTTTCTCCTATCACCTCTGCTAATTTCCACATGTGCCACACTGCACGTCGCGAATAGACAATATGCCAATGGGAAATCATGGCTACATACAACATACTGGTGTTTGCCCCCCCCCCCCCCTTCGGATGTGTCTATTTCACGCAATGAAGTAGTGCGCTATCTTTCACCACTGCTGTGATTCCCGCCTTTACTTTATGGGCATAATTATAAACCAGGATCTAGATTAATCTCGTTGCTGTTGTCTGATGATTGTTGGAAAATATACTGTGGCAAGCGTTACAATTACATGTAGGTCATGATACCAAACGTTGTAGTATAACGAAGCTGGTTCGGAATCGCAGTGTCTCCGGGAATGAGTTTGCCCATCTGCACAAAGACTTCAGGCCCAAGGCTGCAGAAACTCAAACTTATCTATCTAGTATCTTTCTCTTGGACTTCTTCCACAGCCAGCTAGGGAGTCGTAATACATACAAGTACATGTTATCTAATATATCTGATGCTAGTACTGTAGTAGTGCTGGATTATCTAATACATGTACATGTACAATACAATCGTGTACATGGCTTGTATAGACCAGGGTTTAACAACTGCCTACTGCTGAACATCACCCCTGCACACACTTCTGGAGGCAACTGAGGGTTGTTGGTGAAGAGTACTAATACGTTGGGGCTCACTCGAATTCCCATTCACACATGCACATGGCACGACTGGAATGAATTGAGGTATGAGCCAGAAGACAAGGTATGCTTGGCTCCTACGTACTAGTAGTAGAAGGAAATTCAATGATAATTATTTCGAATAGAATACTATTGCTCAGTCATGATATTGCATCAAGGGATTGAAATAACTTTTGAAGACAAGATTTGCCTGGCTTCTGGAAAGAGAATTCAAGAATAATTTGAATAGAATACTCAGTCTTGAGATCGGGTTAATGTAGCATCAAGGAGTTGAGATCACGTGATTGAAGTCCTAAATAAATGACATGTATAGCTGCGAACAAGTGGAGTTGATCACAAGGGATTTCAAAGCAGATGCTGGAAATATACGTGTAAACTAATCAGTTTTGTGTAAAGTACTGAATACACAATTACACAGCATGAATAGATTGAAAATATCTTATGGCATGGAACAAGATAATCATGTCTGATCAGCATTGACCGTGAACTATCATTATTAATTTTATTATAAGGTGGGAAAACTTTGAAAAAAGGGATAATCATAAGGATTAAGGGTAACCCTAAGTATGATAAAATAAATATTTGATCCGAATAAAAAACTATGAGCTTCAAATACTTGAACTGGTACTGCCACATATCCCAGTTTTTCATTGCAGGTTCATAGCTATCAGTATCTTGTCGCTGAGGAAGCACAGGATTTTGAAAGAATAATTTCAAACCCGTTTCAACAATCTCAACCTTATGAATATTCAACTCAAGAAAATAATAATTATACCATTGCAAAAGCAGGTTAGAGGAATCCCCTAAAGTGCTCAATAAATAGTACAGTTACAAAAATATATATATCCCATCATAGCTTCTATAATAATTCTCAACATGTCACGGACAGGTGTGCATCTGGATCAATATAGGGAACGACTCAGGCAATCACATGGCGTGTGGGTGACACTGTAGCCCGTGAGAGTCTTGAACCAGCTATCGCCCTGGACCAGTGGCAACGTGCTGGGTGCCGCTGACTTTGGAGTAGCGTTGATAAGAAGACTGTACCTGCCTGGTGTACTTGCAGTGATGTTCAGGGTGAACCCTATCATTCGAACCGTACTGGAAGCCTACCAAGAGAGAAAAAGAATTGAGAGCAACAGTCGAACCATGAATACTTGAACTCGAAAAGGTGCACATTTTTACGCATGACTTTCGAGATACAATTTCACATCTAAAGTGCGTGATGGTACCTTGTTGACAAGTTCTTACAAAGATGAGGAAAGACAGGGTTAGGAAGTCATGTGGCTGTGCATGCTGCTTACCTCGTACTGTTTCCGCCATGTCTGGAAATTTGAAAGACCATTCATCGTCATGTTGATTTTACGACCGGCTTCATTGGGATCGAAGTACTGGAATTGAAATCTTGATGTGAATCCACCATATTCCGCATCATCAGGTGCAACAATATTCACAGTTATGTAATAGTCCATACGACCTGCAACAGCAGGACTTCCAGCCATTGCATTCAGCTTGATGTTGCCCGTGATTGTTCTCGTCTCTTGTGGATGACGTACATAGGTAGATGCTCCAAACACTGTTTTTGTGCACTGGTAAGAATAGCTGGCGAAATGTGCCAGGCGATGGATCTTGTGACAGGACTGGCTTATCCCGGAATGCTTGCAGGCATAGCTATGTTCAATAGGTTGAGGTGAGCCAAAGAACAGGACTTGCATGTTCTTTAGACATTGAGTTGACTTGGGCAACTGTGGATTCTGGCTGATGACGATAGCTTGCGATGTGGATGATTCATACATTGCTTTGTCCACCCTTGTGACATGATTCATCAGGCGCGAGGCAAGCTTAAGAGCTGCATCCAATGATGCAGCATTCACTGAGTTCACTCCATGTCGGAGCTGATGCATGCTGTTGAGCAGCTGCATCTTCCCTTGCAAGTTTGCAACAACAATCTTTGGTGACTGTGCGATGGTGTCAGTTTTGCCGCTGCTGTCATACGTGATGATGGCTGCATTGGCATAGTTGGATGTTGATTTGCTGAAAGACTCCACAACATGTCGTGATGTACGTCCTAAGAACTTTTTGACTGGCGTTTTGATGCTGGCATTCTTTGTTACATCGATGACGAACACATTCAGCTCACCGGTGCATTTGATGGCGTACTGGGAATGAGAAAGGAAAACAGTGAATACCATGAGCCTATTGTAACGACTAAAATAATCATTAGAGACCAGGAGTAATAATCTCATTGCTCGCAATATGCACTATTTCAAGCAATCAATATATTTGTGTTACAGCGCTGAGCAAGAGGGAACCACATAATAATAACACATTTACCAGCATTTACTATTCAGTAGGTACACGACTTATTCATGATACTGATAGTGAGGAAGCAACTTGGCAATGTTCGACTCACCCGAAACACAGGTACCAGTGTGGCGTTGGGCTTCCTCGTGTGTGAGTTGCTGAAGTTCTGGTGCTGGCGGAGAACTTCCCAAGCACTTCTACCTTGGCACAGTTCATTGTGATTGGTATCAGCATTGGAATTGTGCAGGACACTGCTGCTTGCATCCTCTCCTCTGGCTAGGTTATCACAGAAGAATTGTGCCTGCAGAAAGTTTAAAGAGATCAGAATACAAACAAGGATTCGGATGGAGAGCCAAGGATAAATATGTATATATCTCAGCCCAGTGACGTGAGTGGTTGGAAGTACATGTATGTAGCTTTACATGCTGGGAATTGTGCAAGGCCAGGCAGTGTATACATGTACATGTAGGTGTCGCAGCTTCGTTTCTGATCAAAACTTTTTTTCCTATAGCGATATCATGCTGAATCGCGCCATACAGCGCGTACCAAAACCGTGACTAAACAGCATGAATCTTTATGTAGGTAGCGACTTTGGTGATTTTGAAATTTGTAAAGCACACTAAGAAAATTCAATATTGATACTTGTAGTACGATTGAACAATATACTGCAAGATTCGACCCGTGACTTACATGATCTTTCAAGGAGGCCATGATAGAGACGCCCCTGCCGTCCTTGGAGTTCTCTCTCCCTTCTGCGCACTTGGGCACGCTTGCATCGCTCCTTTTGTACTCGTCACCGATTCCCCAGTGCAAGTGGGCGAATTCGTGAACAATCTTCTTCGCTGGATCGTCACAGGTACCCTGTACGTGTAACCAAGGTAACAAGAACGTGCCAATGCTCAGCTTCTGGATAGTCGTCCACTGTGGGAGTCCTGCATGTAGACTGCCCGCTTCTTTTTATCCAATCGCGTCTTACTCTACTGCTACACGCACATGTCGATCTACATAATATGCATATTGATATTGCTTCGTCGTGCTAACGAACTAGTCACGGCAAAACCAATGAAGACAGAGAAGAGAACTTTTGAGAAGACCGTCGACGTCCTCATAGAGTCATAATATATAATTATCATGGTCCTAGCGCATAGCAGCATGCACCATGCCAGCCTGTCAGGGAGTGAGATATTTTTTACGACTCTCGTTGTAGGGCTTTGAAGTAGTTTGAATAAAACAAGTCTTCTACTGCAACTGCAAGTCTGCATGCTTGCTGTGCGCGTGCCGCTACTACTGTATACATAGCCAGGGCAAGGACAAGGACCGCTAGCTATCATACACAATCATGTACATGTACAGTATAACTTTAAGTCTATAGTATATCTACAATGACGTAAGTGTCGGCACTTCGTCTTTGCAGTGCCAGCGTGAACACGGTGAAGGGGCTTCCCCGCATGTTTCCCCTGCAGCTTCAACCTGATGCCCAGTGCTCCTGTACGCGTATACCAATATTATGATGTACCAGGTATACGCGGCATTGAAGAAAATCGTTTGACAAGATCAAGACTGAGTAGGCATTACAGTCATTACGGCTGAAAAGAGAGACTGCCACATGTACAATGACATTATGTACTAATCATCTAATGTACATGTAGGTCATGTACACGCAGTTCATTTTACTCCTGATCCTGGCAAGACAAACACACATGTGCGTATCCTGCAGAACAAATAAAATCAAACGATACATGTAAAATCATGTAGATACACACTTACCCTATTGCAGGGGAAGAAGACACCAGAATCGAGTGTCATTTTACCAGAAGCAGGAAGTCCGCAACAATCGGTTCCTCTCACTTTGGCACTGCACTCCGTCGGATTTTCTACAATACGTATGGAGGACATTTCCGGATTACTACTATGACATTCCAGTAGGTCTTGATTCTCTCTGAAGTTTTCCGTTCGCCATGTATCGGGCAGCAGAAACCTAACTTCACCGATGTGAGCATTGTAGCGAGTTGCTTCGTGCATGGCAATGGAAGCTTGAGTGAATGTCTCTGTGAGTAGCTTGAGAAAGGAGAGGTTCTCGTTGTCCGATGGCTCCTCGCCACACTTGAATTCTTCAGACTGGACCCGCTGATCAATGTTGACGTCAATGGAGTAGCTACGCGTAACGGGGTCGAAGTGAATGTCATTCTTATTACGATAGTAGCTGGTTATGGAGCAGGGTTGGTCGGTAGCACTACTCGCGATAGCAATGTTGAGAAGAAAACAACAGATCAGTGATAGGGAAACTATGCAATTACACTGCAACCATCGACTAGCGATGTGCACGGTTCTTGTGACCGGATACTGAAGGCGGGGTAAAGCCATTTCAGGGGAAAATTTCAATAGGAATAGAAAAGTAAATTGTGCAATTGGGTCCAGCCGGACGGGCTTAAAAATATCACCACTATTTGCTTTAGCTTACAATTTGATATTTCTGTAGAAGATGTAGTTGAATTTATACCTGTCGGACCACACACATGTAACTCATCACGTGCGGGGTGAAATTGACAACCCGTACGCACGGCAAGTGTGTCTTCGGCTAGCTTGGTACTGCGTGTGTGCCGCCGTTTGACATGAGTCGGGTATTGTGTGCATGTCAGCACACACACACACACACACACACCCCTAGCGTTTAGTGCAAGGGAAACTACCAAAAAAGTGTACCCATGCACAATAATAGTGGACAGAACGTTTCCACACGAATACGCTAGCCTTGGTTTGTATTACCTGGATGATCTCATCTCGTCTTGATTACCACCCTCTGTTCTTCGCAGCGTCCGATCCTATACGCGTTCTTTCATTTCTATAAGTTACGCACCGAAATCTAGTAGGTCCGCAACAGATGTTTGAATTCAGCAGTAGGAACAACACTGTCAACAGCAGCAGCGGTAGCCCTGGAATCAATGTCCGCATTTTTGGCATTTACGAATGTCGCACCTCGTCCCGTTGCGGAGTTTGTGCTGAACGCATCATGGTTTGGTGGCCGTGGTGGCCACAATCCGACTGTGGCTAAATTTATCGTGGCACATCGTTTCATGGTAAGGAGTAACGATACTCCATACCTACACATTGTAAGTGCTTGGGCGCCGCATACCAATGGGGGCATTGGTACCCCAGGCCAGACCCGGTCTTAGCAGGTGTTCACATACCACTGTCAGTTTCACTGCACTTCATGATGTGAGCTGCTCGCGCACCCTCTGCCTCTGGTTGCAGAGCTGGAGAATGCTTCACTACAGCCTAAGCAGGATACGGCTAGTGCTAGTAGAAGTACTAGTACTAGTACTAGTAGTAGTAGTAGAGCGCAGGTAGGCATGGTGGACGTGAACCACCCATACTGTCATACTTACTAGATAGTAATCTTTATCATCATGGTGACTGATGACTGCGCATGCAGGTGGTTCACTCCAGCTGGTTCTGTATCTCCGGACCTAGAAACAGCGAAACCATGGCTGATCTTGTGCATGCATTGTACATGACAAGCACGGACTCCGTTCTGTGATGCTAGTGCATTCAGTAGCTACATACATGTACATGTACATGGAGCACATGTATTTCATTTGGGTGTGTGGCAATGGCAAATGCAAGCACATGGCATCAACTACCTACTTGATCAAGGAATCACGAGGACAACAGACCCCACTGCACAGACAGGATACCAGCAGTTACCTTCAGAACAATGTAGTTGCATTGCACTTAGCCTCTTAGCCTCTTAGCCTGGCTCACAAGTGTGCCCGATTACGTGCTAGTACATGTAAGTAGTAGTGGCACAACAGTAACCGTTACGGCGTTAGTAGGGCGTTGCATACATGTATGTATCTCCATCACTGTGAAGCATACGGCGATAGCAAACATGCGCCGACATTCAGCAACACTTACATTGTAGTGGTGATCACTCAACATGCCACACCAATAGTAATAGTAATAGTAATAGTAATGCTATCACCAACACTCCAACAGGACACTGGACAGTACAATCATGACAAGGGCAAACTGTAGCCGGTAACGTCAGTCATGTGATTTTCAAATTCTTCCCTAAGGTAGGATTTACATGTACAATGTAGATATGATTGGTAGGGCAGCCCCGGATCCCACATCCACGCGTCTTCAAGGTATGCATAGATAAACAATCCCAAAATAGCTGCCCCCAAATCCTGTGGTTGTGGCCCCAACAACCTCCCCAAATAGTTGATGTGTCAGACCCCTTTGTATACCTAAGCCAGAGACGCAAAGCACATGTGCAGCATTGGGTGTACATGTACATATTAATAATAATTATTATTAAATGATGTATCAAATGACATTATAATTATTTTAAAAGTGTATAATTACTAGTACTAGTATACTGTGTGCTACTGCACTCTGTAGTGTACATGTACATGACTATTGTACAGTCATGTAGCTGTAAGAAAAAAAGTGTATGTTCAGTTGACAACCAGTGTAGTCAAGCGAAACAACACGCCTAAACCCCCCACGCACTGCTAGCATGCTCATGCACTCATGCCATGGCATGGGTACCGGATGTTCCCGTGTTTGTCTGCGTTTAGCTAGTCTAGTCATGGGTGTTCCTGTGTTACTGTTTGTCTGCGTTTGCGTGGCTCCTAGCCTATTCAATCGTTTGTTCACAGCACAGCTACATACATGTAGATCTAGACTTCATGTACAATACTTGTACATGTACGTGTACAATACAATCATGTACATGTAGACCTACATGAGATCTACAGTCATGTACATGAGATCTACATGTACATGTACATGTACATGTCCAGTGTACATGACTGTAGATCTACATGTACACTGAGGTACATCGAACCTCTCTCGGTCTCAGTCACACAAGTCAGGTCAGGAATACAGACACTTGTCCTACTCCTACCCGGAGTCCTAGGCCAGGTCAGATCAGATGTGGGTGGCTGGTTCAGCTGCAGGGTGTAACTGTAGGAGGAGGAGTGCTTGTGGAAGTTCCGATATCCTGCCATTCTCACTCGTACTCCGAGTCGAAGCCGACGAGTGGCTTGTATCGCAATGAGTAAAACCTGGAAGTATCCACTTGGTCCAGAAGTGGCTGTCATTGATTGGAATCCAGATCTTGCAATGCCAACGGGTTCCTTTCGATTGCCTGTCGATATAATGGCATAATAATGCCTTAATTTATTTTATTAATGGGCATCCGAAAGATGACTAAGACAATCGATGTGTCCCATGTAGCGTGCCCATACTACCCTTCACCAAACTAATCAATCCATTGATCTAGTTGTACTGAATACACATGACTGCACGAACTACATGTACATGTACGTGTACATGTACATCATGTAATAGTAACTTATTACTGTACACTGTATGGATACTTGCTACATGTATACACTATGCAATGTATGCAATGTATACATGTACATTGTATTTTGTACTTGTATTAATGGATTCTTCACACTTAATCACAGGCCTGAGCCTTAAATCGAGGGAGTCTCCTAGTCCATGTACAAGTAATCATTTATCACATTGAATCATTATCTTTTTTGAAAGGATTGGGAGAACTTCAAATTCAAAGGATCAGTCCGGGAAGTGAACTGCCTGAAAAGAGAAAAAAAATGCCAGATCCACCAGGACTCGAACCTGGGACCTTGCTTGTCATGAGCATGGGGCCTGGCTGAACCGAAGGCGCTGGCAAGTTTTTTCTCCCTTGCATAGTGCCATCAGTACAGTCAGTATGTGTGGCGTGTGGTGGGCTGCCCGCTTGGAGTAAAAAAACTAACTAATTTACTTGTCGGCACCTTCTACCTGCACATGTACAGTGTACATGTACATGTACATTGCATGTAGAATGATACTCCCACCCATGGTATACATTGTAGCTCCGCAATACTCCATGCAATTGACCTAGCAAAGTACAGAAATCTGCATGGATTCTTGACAATAGTGTTGGTGTCCATGTGCAGCGTAGCCTTAACGATGCACCAAAATACCATCCACTAATGCACTGTACAGAATGTTCTTTTGCCAGTCGACTGCATGATCCAGGGTATTCTGCGTTGGTGGAATGCTAGTGCAAATACATGACTGTACATGTACACGCACACATGTACATGTACAGTGCTAAAACCTATTCAGGCTATTGTACGTGAACACGTTCAGACGTGTGGACCGGAACAAACTCACTCACTGATGACCCGGGACACTGATGTTCGAATCTACATGACTTGTACATGATTGTATTGCATACATGTACATGTAATTTCCTGATACAAGTCCAGACCAGATTTTTCTCACCATATCTAACGTTAGTACTGGTACGGATTGTGACATCATTAGGGATCTGCATACATGTACCGGTACATGTGTACAATTATGTACTTGATCCATCTCACCATCTGCACAACAGTGAACAGCAATACAAATCAACATTGCAGGCTATTTATCGAGCTCGTGTACATGTACATGACATGTATGTCCACGATTGTCCAGTACATGTACACCTGATACCAGAAAACTAGCCATCCTCAGGTCAACAATTACATGTCCATGATGAACATGTCCATGTACATCATGGACATGTACATGGACATAATGCACCTGAAGTTGATGGTTTATTTAATCGTCAGTGAGCTGTTGTCCCCAATTGTATTGCAAGGCCCACTGACAGGCACGACCACTCGAGGTCAGTTGGGACGCAACCTTCCCCTCCCCCTGGCCCACAGTGCTTCTGGCGCATGCCGACCGCTTCTAGCCAGCTGCTGACTCTGGAATGGCCTGCCCGACTGTATGAAGTCCATAGTATCTGTCCGTGAATTCAAACGCACGCTACGCGTATTTTACTTCGGTTAAATGTAATGGCTTTCGTAACCTGCTGATGAGGCTCGATAAAATCATGCTACGATGACCCGACTTGGAAATTTGAGATCCCTTTTTCTGCTCGTCTTAACCCTGCCTCCCCTCATTGCTACTTCCATTTTCTATTTCTATTTCAATTTATTTTTCTCTTCATTTTTGACTCTTCTTACTGGTTGTCATCGCTTTCATAATATTGGGCAGAACTGCCCGTTTGACATGCGATGTAAAATAAATAAAGAGTAACAACAACAACTTCGTGAATATTCAATGAAAATGCAAGGCGGAAATCACAACTATGGTTCCATGAGTCATGATTCTTTCATTTCTTTGTCTAGCTGAGTGTCCGACTGTAGACATGGAGATACCTTTTCATGCAACAGTTTTAAAAGTCGTTGAGCATGTCAGGATGCGGTGTTCAGCCTGTCAAGATACAATGATGTAAACTCAGCAGGCAGAGTGGCTTTTAGCTAAAGCTCTACCTTCTGCGTTTCGTGACAATTCCTCATGATCCTGGTTTGTCTTGCCTTTGTGCATACAGACAATCACGTATAGCTCGGTGTCTTTGATACGATCGTAG